TTCCATTGTCTATCTCCGATATCATCCTAAGCAGTTGAAATAAAGGGAATTCTAAATCAATGAAAAATAAAGGTGATGCGAAACAAAGATTTTGAAATCTTAACTCGTACAAGATATCGCAGTTTTCGTATGTCTTGGACAATGAAGAATATCGTTTCGATTCGATATTACTATGAATAAGAAATGAGATTTGAACTGATTCAAACACGAAATATGTCTTGGTCGGTCAGCAGTAGATGTATATAGAAGTTAAAAGAAAATGCTGATATTATATATGAAGCTTAGAATGGCTTGTTAACAATTAAATTTACAAATGTACTTTTTCGAACAGAATCGTATGACGTGATTAATTTCATTTTTGATAAAATTAAACGGAAAATGAAAATCAGAATTAGCTTTTCGCTTTTTGTATTGATTTTGAAGAACTGAAGAACAGGCAAATGTGAACGCCGAGAAACGTTTTCTAATATAGATTTACGAATAAAGTAATGCGAAACATAACTTTCTTTAAACGTTCCGAAAACAGTTCGTCGAGGTAGTGTTTGACATTTAATTTGTTACCTTCTGTTTTATTTCCGGAGAACTGTGTTAACACAAGCAGTGTAACCATATAGGTCTCAGTGACCCATCCTTAATTCTCGTGTCAGATTAATACAACGGGTGTCTGCCTCGCGTGGCAATCACTGCCTGTATCTCTCTAACATCCGACCTTATCAACCTATTTAATAGTATTCTTCCGCCACCAGAATACCTGCGTCCGACGTTATTTTAGGTGTTTATGGGTTCTTTAACCTTTTCGACCAGTTCATCCAACAATTGTGCAATAGAGAAGTGATTTGGAGTATAAAGTAGTCAATCAAGAGCTGAGAAGTTATTGCTGGCCTGTATTGTCAATACCTCTGCGAAGCCTTATCCAGCTTATATCTACCACCAACAGGTTATGTGACAAGCATCAGCAAAATAATTATCCACATTACATTTTCTTTACAAACAGAAACGAGATTTGTCCCAAAGAATTACAAGTGAGTAACACCGTTTAATAACAAAATGTAGTGAAAAGATATAGTAGAGCCAAACATTGAGACATTGGTTAAACCTGCATCATGCAGCTGTTTCGTCCCCCTTCGAGTCCTCACTTGTGCTAAGGACCTGGAGTTGAAGTCTTGGAGGCGACTGACAAAATATAAAGCCAAATTCTAGATGGGAAGATGGACAAGTCCCATAACTCAATAAATTTCTTAATCTATGTATATCTTATCATTTTGAATAAGGCCAAACACTAGCTAGAGCTGCATGATAGATATGTATAAACTACAATTAATGTCTTAGAGAAAAAACACATCATAGGAAACTGCATGGTGCCTGATGGCAACAACTGATTACATATCAATATTGAAATGTAGGTTTTGTATCCCTGTGGTCATAATGCAAAATGATCATTGTGTTAACTGATAGTATATAAAGACGTATTTCCGAAGCAGAAGGAATACATTTAAATGAGTCATCATGAAAGCTTTCAAATTACGTTTTTATTATAACATTATTTTTCAGTATAAAGCGATCTTTTCTTGATTAATCAAATCAACTTTTACAGTGTAGATGATTTATCTTGTCCTCATATCCACCAATCACCAGGAAACACCGTCAACTGGCCCACGGAGAATAAGGTAGACTCGAGAGAATGAAAACCATACCCTTTTAAGCTATATAATTCAATATGTTACAGTGAAACTTCCGCAAAGATAACTAAAGACCACATGGAAATCTAAATCTACCCTTGCATGTTCAAAAAATTGTTCAATTTTATTTTTTTAGTACTTTTCCATAGAGACTGTAATATAATGGATTCTCCAGTAACAACTTTTGTTCCACGCCACATTTTTCTCTCGACATTACATCTGATTAGATTAGGTACCAGGGAGATTCACACCGTGTCCCGAATTCACGTTAAACATCGACCTATTTCGCAGACACTTTCATATTCGTCCCAACAGAGATACATCTATATCACGTTTAAAGCAGATGATCTGCAATGCAATCCTAATGTGCTTAAAATATAAAAGCATTTGATCCCTGTCTAAAACGATCCCAAACCGCCTGCGAACTTTCGTGAAACCTCAATTTCTTTGAAATTAACATTTTTATTCTAACTCCAACTGGCATAAACATTGTCAACGAGTCATACATTTTCTGTGCCTTTCGAACACGCATCTTTTTTAGTGTCAAAAGACCACTTCCAATTCAATTATATCTGATTAATTGTTTAGTTCACGAGATCATTTCATGGTTTGACTGCACTGTTTTGGCAAAGGGGAATATTCTGAAGAAAATATATCGGGTTTGTAATATTCTGCTTTTACACATGTGAAAACAATGTAGGTAAGATCCTATTCATAAGGGAGTCTTGTTAATGCTTGTTCCTGGTGCAGCCAATATACATGCATCTGAACACTAGCTACACTTTAACGTTTATGTATTACCTTCCTCTTCATGTCTTCACTTAGGTGTTACGAGTGACAGAGCTATATTGATTTCATATTTTCGTCTCTGAAAATGAATTGCAAGTTTAATCTTGGATGACTGGTGTCATTCTTATGGACGATGAATAACAGCCCGATTTGTCTTGTAAACTTTCATAAAGGCAGGGCAAAGAATTGGTGACGATATATCAATCTCGTTACTAGGATAACGGGTCAAAATCAGGAAAAAATCCTGCTGATGGCTTATGTATTTCTTAAGAAGGCCATACATTTTATGAAAAGCATGTGACGCTGTCAGCTTCAGTATTTCATTAATGCTTTATTGTGTGTCACAGTTATGTAAAGTAATCTAGTATCATTTTAGCACTAACTAGTTAATCTCATCGTTTGAAATTTTATTCCTTTTTTATCTGATAGTGGAATTGAAATATCAATGCTTGGTTTGTGGTCTTCAGCTTTTGATTTATACATCTAATAGCTCAACGTACAAGTAAGGTGCGCACAATATATGAGGATAATGGGGACGTCACTTTTACATGCGTATTGCTTCATAATGAAGTGGCAAAGCCTTGATGTGGTAGAGATTCACCCTCATGGTCACTGTATACTAAAATATTTAAAGTTAAGATTTATTCTAAGTTGAATACATTATATGTTCAAGAATTTATATTTTGTGCAAATAACTGAAGCGAAAAGTTTCACAGAGGCTGTCAAAGAACAAGTCTCTCCCTCACCTTTTCTAACCGTCATAGACATGTGCTTATGACTGACATAACAGGGTGAAACATTATTACATTTAGAACGAAAAATATTAGCCAAAATGACTTGTTATGAATATATTTACGTGTTTTAATACAATGACCAAAAGTTGTACAACTAAACTAAAACATGATACAAATCATATTCTGCCAGAATTGATGATCATACTCAATTGCATGTATCGTGTATTGAACTATATTTATAGGTATTTGGGTCATCTTAGATATCGTGTATCAGGGTAGGATGAAATATAAAAATGGAAAATGACATAAAAGGGCACGTGGGGTAACCAATCGGTCTCTGTCTGATATTGAGTACATAATCTACACCGCTAAAGGCCAAATCGAGTCTATAACCTTCAACACTAACGCCAAAATCGAAACACTAACGACGACAAAATTATGTATCTAGTCACTTTTTGCAAAAGAACAACAGGTGCGGTATACACAAGCATACGACTTAGCCAGTTTAGCTTTTCAAAAGCAGATTTACCGACAATTCAATTCGATGTTAATCTCCAGGATTTTGTTATATGCGCTTCCTAGCTGCTAACGCGAATGACAAAAGATAACAGACGATTTTCATATTTTTCGAAACAAATTAATATGCTGCAAGCATATATGTTTTTGCGGTATTCTTATTTAGCACTTATAGCGGTGGGAGAATAAAAATATGATTACGCTAATTGTACTTCTGTATATTGGTGATATTGCAATTACTGTGGATGTATTGCGTTCATTTTTTTATAGAGTGACAATGCGCCAAATTTTCTTGGCGACATATAAAGTGCTTTTCCTTAAATGTGACTTTTTAATAAAGAAAAAATATAGCAAAATTAGTTTCTGAAGATTATTGCGTGATCCAAATGGTAATATTAATTTTGAACAAAATACACGAACTTGTTATAGTAACATAACGGTCATAAAACTTTTGTTAAATTTGAAATAAAGCTTTTATTATTAATATTCGGTTGTTTTATTAATAAAGCTTCAGGCTTATACGAAACGTTATGTAGCGAAAGGGATAAACAATGTAACTGAATCCTATGAAACCCTGAATTTATATTAGATTAATAGGATTATGACCTAATGTGTTCTTTAAGCTTCAGTAAAATCCAACTACAAGTACAAATATAATCTAGTCGTACTCATTATATTGGCATTTGATGAAATGAAGTGATGTTTCAGAAGTACAATCTAAGGCAGAATGCGGAATTCTAATGGTGAGATATGGTAGATATTTGCTAAACGTACAGCCGAACAGTGCCACAGGCATTAACTCTTTCTAACAGCCGTTAATCAAACTTAAAACCATCACATAAAATGATTCATTCTTTTTCTAGCTTTAGATGTTTTTGTCTCATTTTCAAACATCCGTGCTTCAATCAAGAACAGTACAGAACATAAATAAGTCTTTGGAGCGAGATTAAATATCTTGGACGATATAAAGTTCGATGTGTTTGGTGCTCATTAGAAGGCATTGTGGTTCTCTTGTTGTTTATCTTGTTTTCACTTGGGACACTTGGTAAAGTGATACATGGTTGAAGTAAAAAACGCAAACCCTTTCGCATACCTTGTCTTATTGAACTGTTCATACTCTCAACTAGCTTCAACGAGTTTGAGATTGAATATCGTTAACTTGTTGGTATTTTCTTTACATTTTTTGTTTCTAAGAACTTGTGTAGTTTTTTGTGTAAGTAATTTTATGTGCAGTATTGTGCTGGTTTAAAAACAAGAAAACATTTTCAAATATTTTTTTCAGACATGGAAAGACGTTATGCTGACTTGGAACGCATCGGAACATGAAAATATCCAAACAGTACATGTTCCTCACGACCGTGTATGGTTACCGGATATAGTTCTTTATAACTTGTGAGTAGAAGTCTCGGAAACACCATATTAACGTCTGGAGTATATATCAATAAAAAGCTTCGCTTCTACCAATTAAGGCTATTAATCATTTCAAGAAAATCCCACATAGTTCATTTATCCCTTATTTTCCCTATAAAAACGTTCCAAACTTCAATCGTTCAAATTTTAGATATCCATATATTATATGTGGTTTGCGTATAGTTACCTAGGAAATATTGCCATCTTTCTTCCACTAACAATATACAATGGATCCTTATTATAAGATAATTTTTCAACTGATTTCTTTGTCAAATTTCTTACGAACGTTCGACAATGGCATCGGTGTAGATCCTTTTTCATACTTTGTTTTACATCATTACCTTACCAAACAATGTTGCTTTGTCTAACAACGTCTCTCAATACACCTTGGCAATTTCTGACAATTCGTTACGGAAGCCATTCCATTCTATCATTGTAGTGCCGACCCTCGGCTGAAGGAGCAAAGGGAAGCGCTAGTTGTGGTGGAGTCCACAGGAGACGTACTGTGGATGCCCCAGGCAATCTTAAGGAGCTCGTGTCAATTTGATACGACATATTTCCCTTTCGACGAACAGAAGTGTATTCTCAAATTTGGCTCATGGACGTATGATGGCAAGAAATTAGGTTTGCAGTTCCAAGACAATCTGAAAAAATTCTCACTAGCTGATTATATGAAGGGAACAGAATGGACCATAACAGAAAATTATGCGGTCCGGAGCGAGAAATTTTACGAGTGTTGCCCTGATACACCATATCCTGATTTGACGTTCAAATTAAGCATCAAGCGAAAGGTGGCTTTTTACAGCTTCATCCTCATACTTCCATGTGCTCTGCTCTCAACTTTAACGCTGGTTATTTTCTGGGTCCCTCCGGAGTCCCCGGCCAAACTAGTTTTAGGTAAGTTAAATCTAGTCACATTTGGTAAGTATAAAAATGGCTGGTTTGACCCCTAATGTATTTGCCGGTTTCCAAGAAAAGTTGATACCACTGTGTTCAATCAATCATTTTATGTGCGATGAATTATTAGTAAAAATTAGTAAAATAATCTATCAGTGTGTACATATAACAAGGACATAAGGTTAAGTATGAATTAGGCTAACCACATTACTCATTACCCAATTCACTCATTGATTTCCAATACATCGATATGTGAGATCACGACAGCTGTGTCTAAGTTTATTTTGCAACCTGAGATGAAGATGTGCAGTTTGATTGCATTCTTGGTTATTTTGTGTTACCCATGAAGCTTACCTTTTGGGCGGCTGTCCTGAGTTGTTATGACTTTGTCCTTAGCAAGACACTCAAACCCAACTGGCATATAGCGGGCCTCTCGCATGCGATTCATTGAGGTAGTCAGCAGGTTACTACAATGACAACTGTTTCAAATTAACCACCTACTCACAGGCCGATTAATCAAACAAATAAACAAAAGTTAATATGAGAGACCTAAGACCCGATGGCTTAAATGGTTCGCATGAACACGCTATTGATTGAATAGTATTGTATCCTATCACATCGACTGCTATATATCTTATCTTAAAGTACAATGCCGCAATAGAAAGAAAATCCTACACAAAAGAAAAATAAAAAAAACCATGGAAACAACAAACTGTTTAGAGCAAATATTTGTAAGGTAGAGACAGACGTTATGTAAAACCGTTCCATAAAACAGACAGGTAAATTTAATACAATCAATCATCGGTACAATGATATGTTACGCAAGATTGATTACAGAGCATAAGTCAAACGTTGTTAACCTGTCTTTTGTTGATCTTTATCATGCGATGTGCGATTTGAAGCAAGTTTTACCAATACTGAAATGGTTATTGTGAAAATAGAGGTAGACATTTGTATTTTTGATAGATAGGGATAAAAGTATAATGTATAGTCTGTTATTTTCGCGGTGATGGTATTTTCGCTATTCGCGGCACAGTAACGCAATCGCGTAAAAAGTACCAGTAATTGAAATGCTGACGCATTTGCAAGTTGTAAATATTACAAATATTCCATAAACTTATGTTCATATGATTTTTGTATGAGGTCATGCAACATGTCTTATTGTCGTTAGAATCGTGACTAAAGCTACTGGATGACATTGAACGATTTCTAATGGTAGGATAGAAAAAGCATATATACGGACACGTTGTCATGGTGATTCTCTCAGCATGACATGAAACAACTTTAAAGCGTGTCGTTCCACCAGGAGAGTGCGCTTATCCTCTTCAGTCTGTGAAGGGAATATGATTTCAATTTGACCTTGGTTGTATCGATGAAGGACAGGGACTGATAAGCTTCATATCAACTACACTTACTTTAATGTATAGAATATAGAACCGGGATAGGTGTATCAATTTCCACGGCCATTAATGAATCGTAATATGTGAATATGAAAGTCCGTTATGCAGCGGTTTTACCAAATAGTCGGATATCGACCATGTTATCATTGAACACCAAGTGCATGTTGTGACTGAGATATACACGTAGGGTGATACGGCTAGATTTCTCCCATCAGAAAGTTTCCACTGCAGTCTGGGTTAACCGTAGGCAGGTAATTATCGTTATTTGGACAAGAAAATAGCCAGTTTGTGTGACCTGTGATACACCAATTGTGAGAGGAATGAGTAGGGCATGTTCGTCTGACGTTAAAAATCTCCAAAATCAATTAAAATACCGTCATATACTAAATAAACTTCTCCCACCTGGTTTGGACTTGAATATGCAATACTATACAAATATAGAAATAAATGATGTAAAGTCTAATCATGAACTAGGCTGCAAACTGGAGATGTTTCACCTATGTAGGATTCGTAAGTGATGTTACCTGAATTGTTGAAATATAGGAACCATTTGACTTAAGAACTTCATGCTTCAAAACAAATCGTCGTTTACTTTGTCATTGTTCTACTCTTCATGCACTCATCAATTCCTTTTGTAGTATGAAAGGATCAAGACTAAATAGAGTCCCTGACAGAAACGGTTATATAAACCACATCAAATGCTTCAGAAGTCTAGTTTTTACAACTATTCAATGATTTATAAATCTAGTTTTTACAATTCAATGCTTTAGAAGTCCAGATTTTACAGCGATTCAATGCTTTAGAAGTCTAGTTTTTACAACAATTCAACGCTTTAGAAGTCTAGTTTTTATAGCGATTCAACGCTTTAGAAGTCTAGTTTTTACAACGATTCAATGATTTATAAATCTAGTTTTTACAATTCAATGCTTTAGAAGTCTAGTTTTTTACAATGCTTTAGAAGTCTAGTTTTTACAACTATTCAATGCTTTAGAAGTTTCTAGTTTTTACAGTCCCCGATTCAATGCTTTAGAAGTCGCTTTAGAAGTCTAGTTTTTATGCTTTAGAAGTCTAGTTTTTACAGGAATTCAACGCTTTAGAAGTCTAGTTTTTACAATTCAATGCTTTAGAAGTCCAGATTTTACAACGATTCAATGCTTTAGAAGTCTAGTTTTTACAACGATTCAACGCTTTAGAAGTCCCCTTTTTACAACGATTCAATGATTTATAAATCTAGTTTTTATAGCGACTCAATGCTTAAGAAGTCTAGTTTTTACCGCGATCCAATTATTTAGAGGTCTTGTTTTTACAGGGATTCAATGCTTTAGAAGTCTAGGTTGTGAAGCGATTCAATGCTTTAGAAGTCTAGATTTTACAGCGATTCAATGCTTTAGAAGTCTAGTTTTTACAGCGATTCAATGCTTTAGAAGTCTAGTTTTTACAACGATTCAACGCTTTAGAAATCTAGTTTTTACAACGATTCAATGATTTATAAATCAAGTTTTTACAATTCAATGCTTTAGAAGTCTAGTTTTTACAACGATTCAACGCTTTAGAAGTCTAGTTTTTACAACGATTCAAAGCTTTAGAAGTCCCCTTTTTACAACGATTCAATGATTTATAAATCTAGTTTTTACAATTCAATGCTTTAGAAGTCTAGTTTTTACAACGATTCAACGCTTTAGAAGTCCCCTTTTTACAACGATTCAATGATTTATAAATCTAGTTTTTACAATTCAATGCTTTAGAAGTCTAGTTTTTACAACGATTCAATGCTTTAGAAGTCTAGTTTTTACAACGATTCAACGCTTTAGAAGTCTAGTTTTTACAGCGATTCAACGCTTTAGAAGTCTAGTTTTTACAGGAATTCAATGCTTTAGAAGTCTAGTTTTTCAACGCTTTAGAAGTCTAGTTTTTACAGGAATTCAATGCTTTAGAAGTCTAGTTTTTACAGCGATTCAATGATTTAGAAGCCTAGTTTTAATAGCGACTCAATGCTTTAGAAGTCTAGTTTTTACAGCGATTCAATGATTTAGAAGCCTAGTTTTAATAGCGACTCAATGCTTTAGAAGTCTAGTTTTTACAGCGATTCAATGCTTTAGAAGTCTAGTTTTTACAACGATTCAACGCTTTAGAAGTCTAGTTTTTACAACGATTCAATGATTTATAAATCTAGTTTTTATAGCGACTCAATGCTTAAGAAGTCTAGTTTTTACCGCGATCCAATTATTTAGAGGTCTTGTTTTTACAGAGATTCAATGCTTTAGAAGTCTAGGTTGTGAAGCGATTCAATGCTTTAGAAGTCTAGATTTTACAGCGATTCAATGCTTTAGAAGTCTAGTTTTTACAGCGATTCAATGCTTTAGAAGTCTAGTTTTTACAACGATTCAACGCTTTAGAAATCTAGTTTTTACAACGATTCAATGATTTATAAATCTAGTTTTTACAATTCAATGCTTTAGAAGTCTAGTTTTTACAACGATTCAACGCTTTAGAAGTCTCCTTTTTACAGCGATTCAATGCTTTAGAAGTCTAGTTTTTACAATTCAATGCTTTAGAAGTCTAGTTTTTACAACGATTCAACGCTTTAGAAATCTAGTTTTTACAACGATTCAACGCTTTAGAAGTCCCCTTTTTACAACGATTCAATTATTTATAAATCTAGTTTTTACAATTCAATGCTTTAGAAGTCTAGTTTTTACAACGATTCAACGCTTTAGAAGTCCCCTTTTTACAACGATTCAATGATTTATAAATCTAGTTTTTACAACGATTCAATGCTTTAGAAGTCTAGTTTTTATAGCGACTCAATGCTTTAGAAGTCTAGTTTTTACAGCGATTCAATGATTTATAAATCTAGTTTTTATAGCGATTCAATGCTTTAGAAGTCTAGTTTTTACAGGAATTCAACGCTTTAGAAGTCTAGTTTTTACAGGAATTCAACGCTTTAGAAGTCTAGTTTTTACAACGATTCAATGATTTAGAAATCTAGTTTTTATAGCGACTCAATGCTTAAGAAGGCTAGTTTTTACCGCGATCCAATTATTTAGAGGTCTTGTTTTTACAGCAATTCAATGCTTTAGAAATCTAGTTTTTACAGGAATTCAACGCTTTAGAAGTCTAGTTTTTACAACGATTCAACGCTTTAGAAATCTAGTTTTTATAGCGACTCAATGATTTATAAATCTAGTTTTTATAGCGAATCAGTGCTTAAGAAGTCTAGTTTTTACCGCGATCCAATTATTTAGAGGTCTTGTTTTTACAGCAATTCAATGCTTTAGAAGTCTAGGTTGTGCAGCGATTCAATGCTTTAGAAGTCTAGTTTTTATAACGATGCAATGATTTAGAAGTCCCGTTTTTACAACGATTCAATGAGTTATAAATCTAGTTTTTATAGCGATTCAACGCTTTAGAAGTCTAGTTTTTACAGCGATTCAATGCTTTAGAAGTCTAGTTTATACAGCGATTCAATGCTTTAGAAGTCTAGTTTTTACAACGATTCAACGCTTTAGAAGTCCCCTTTTCACAACGATTCAATGATTTATAAATCTAGTTTTTACAATTCAATGCTTTAGAAGTCTAGTTTTTCAATGCTTTAGAAGT